AAAAAAAAAAAAAAAAGAAAAAAAGAAGATGCAGGCCATTTGCCCAATGTGATCTGGCTAAGTGGCAGAATCCATTTGAATTAAGATAATCCATTTCCAAAGTTTAAGCACTTTAGCCTCCTACTCCTTCCTACCTCCTTTGTTTTTTGCTTTTTACGCAACTTTTGGGCTACTCAATCTCTTGAGAATCTGCCAACTCTCTCCCCCTAGAAAAAATGCTTATGTGCACATACATGTCAAGTTCTGTATGTAATTTCAGACACAGGCCCTCGCAAGCTCTGTGGCTATCCTAGAGGTGAGATAGACCTATTTCTGGTCTTAGGATATTGCTGGGCTCCATAAACAGCTTTTGGGGAAAACAAAATAAATGTAAAGTTAAAGCATCATTAGTCACCTTGGGAATACTGTATTCATTCTTCTTGATCCGGAGGTAGGTCTCTTTTAGGCAAGAAGTCTCAAAAGGTGGTTTGCCCACTAACAAGGTATACCTGTAAGCACAAGGTAGGATTTGGCACCAGCCTCCCAGCCACAACCCAGACATAAGAGAAATCATCTCAGGGTCAGAACAAAGACCAGGCATCCTCTGGACACTCACTGTAACTCTGGGGCCCCTGAAGACAACCCCCAAGTCCACTGAGCAGCCCCAGGAGCCATGATATTGGCCAGAATGAGCCCTTAGCAGAATACACGTGGTGAGACTAGGATTCTTAGGGGCTAGTGATTTTTTAGTTGTGGCCTGTGGTCATCTAGGACTCTGTGCAAGGGCCTCAGAGGCTGCCTGTCATGCAAAACAGGTCAAAGGGCTACCTGCACTTACAGAAGCAGCTCTACCTTTAGCAATTCTGTACTTAAGTCTTCAAGTTTTCATTTGAAAAAACCCCATGGCGAAGATGTATGAAAGTCACTGCTACAACTCATTTCTAACTCTCCAGTACCTAGGCCCCAAACAAGAAAGGTAATACCTGAAAAGGCCCAAGCCTCTGCCTGCCACCAACCGCTGCTGATGGTCTCAATCCAGACAGACCACTGGCACGTCATCCTTCCATCTGTAACTCCTGGCCTAATTTCCCCCACCATGCTAATGTTCATCAATGTTTAAGACCTTATTGTGCACGGGAACTACCAAGGGACCTTGTTAAAAAATCCAGATTCTGACCCAGTCAGTAATCTGGGTCCTGAGATTCCGCATACAGGTTCCCAAATGATGGTGATGCTGCCCTGTGGACCACTCTAGCAAAGGACTAGAGTAAGGTTGTGGAGACGACTTCTCCTCCTCCTTCTCCTCCCCCTCCTCCTCCCCCATGTCCTAGGCTGCAGAAATCCAACAGGATACACCAGTGACAGGGAAAGATATGGCAGTCAGGCTTTGTTTGGGGGTAACCTGTCCCCTGCATTAGGTTTGCTGTAAAGCAGGTCGAAAGGTCCACAGAAAAGGTCAGCCAGGTAGGATGTCCCAAAGTTGCCCCTGCTGAGACCAGGTAGGTCCAGAGATAACTCCCAACTTACATGATACACCCAATAGACCACACATCCACCTCGAAACTGTGCCCTTTCTTGCTCAGCACCTCGGGAGCTATGTAATTAGGAGTCCCGCACAGGGTCTTCTTCCTCTCCCCGTCATATTCGACTTTGGTTGCCAGTCCAAAATCCCCTGGGACAGAGGGAGGAAGAGCGGGTACTTAGATGCCAGCCTCTGCCATCTGTCAATGCAGAAGGCTAGTTAAGGTTTGACCATCAAGAACCAGGGCCATTTGATCCCACAAGCTTCTGCTCCTTGTACGCAGCAAGGCTTGCCCAGGAATCTTCCCGCCATGCTGACACCAGGGAGGTGCCTCCAGTGACCCTTCTCACCCCTCCCCTTAGAAAGGGGCTATGCTTCGAAACGGGAACTGGCAGGGATAGCAAAACTCCAGTGCCTTCAAGGATCAAGCAAGTTAACCTCCAAGACTTGGCAAGTCTGTGAAGAAGTAATAGGGAGGAGTAGAGACTGTGGCAAACAAGTCTGAAGGGGACAGCTGCTTTCCAGCCCAGCAAAGGACTGCCCTAAGAAAATGCTGTCCTCATATTACTGGAGCTTTCATGACTGTTTAAAAGGAGCTCTAAATCAAAATTTTTATGTCAAACCTTCCAATTTAAAAAATAAAAACAAATTCAAATTCTTTGTAAAAAAAGAAAAATGCTGTATTGGGGCACAAAAAAATAATGCATCTGTAGGCAAGATACTGACTTGTGGGTTCTTTGTTTGAAATTTCTGGACTAAAGAGAGAATTCTAGAGGCAATCAACAGCCCAAACTTCCCACCATCCTCTTCCTTCCTCCTGGTCTCCTTCCTTTCTCCCAGCCTCCTCCAAATTCCAGCCTCTTGGAGTGATGTCAAGCACCCCTGCAGGCTCAGCAACTCACCTATTTTCACCTCCAGATCTTCATTCAGGAAAAGGTTGCCCAGCTTGAGGTCTCGGTGAATAACTCGGTTTCGGTGCAGGTACTGACAGCCAAGCACAATTTGCCTTAGGTAGTATCGGGCCTCAGGCTCAGTCAGGGCTTTCCTCCTCTTGTGCAGCTCCAGGAGAGACTGTGGATGGGAAGGAGAGGGCAGGAGGGATGGGGAGGTGGTATTGAGGCCGGTGGGGAAGGGAGAGGGTTACCAGGCAAAGGAAGCACAGGACTGGACTCTGGACTCCCAAAGGATGAAAGAGGGGTCTTGGTGGGTTTCTCTCCTTCTCTATGCCCCCACCCCATTCCTTCTCCAGGACAACTGGCATCTGGACCCTGCCTTAACACTGTCCACAACCATTCACAGCACCCCTTCTCCTACTAGCTTTCTCCCTTACCTGGGGGTCCTCTCTCAGCCCCACTCCGGAAGTCCCCAGCAGCAGATCCCTTTCCTGACTCTTATCTCCCTCGGAAGGCCCGAAGTCTAGCTCCAACTACCCCCTCACTAACCCAGCTACACTCCGGAAGCTCCCAGTGCCCGGCATCACTAACCTGGGACTCCTCCCTGGCCACTCCAGGGCCCTAGCGTCCATTACCAGCACCCCTCCCCCCAAGTACCTCGCGTCCAGAAGCTGACCTCCCTATCAGCAACATGACTCAGACTCCACTTCACTGGAACCCCGTCCTCTAGCAGCTCCAAGAGCCAAGAAGCCCTTACCAAAGACACTTTCCATACCTAAGAGGGAGGCTCCCAGCACCCTTCTCTAGCAGCTCCAAGTCCCAGGTACTCCCTTCCTGGGCACTCTTTCCAGCAGCTCCAGGTCTGGGCGCTCCAACTGCCCCGCAGGCAGTTCCAGTTCCCCAGCAGCGACACTCACCCTCCGGCGGCAGAGCTCCAACACCACGAACACGAAGTCGTTGTCCTCGAAAAAGCCGTGGAATCCTACGACGTGCTGGTGGGCGAGGCTGCGGTGAATGGATATTTCCATGGACATCTTCTCCCTCTGGTGCGGCTTGAGCAGCAGAGACTTAGGCACAATCTTGCCCGCGAACACCTCCTTGGTGTCCGCGTCCGAGATCTCGAAGCATTTGGCAAAGCCACCCTTGCCCAAAAAGCGGCCCCGCACATAGCGCCGCCGGCTGCGTGGGTCCACTAGGACCTCCGGGATCTCTTTCGCCGGTGGAGCCGCCGCCGGAGCTCCAGGAGCTGCAACTCCGGGGACCCCGGCTTTCCCAGGGTCGGCCGGTGCCCGTGCCAGCTTCCCTGCAGTCACCGCCGCACTCATGCTCCCGGAGCTGCTCTGCTGACCTGGATCCGAGCAGACGCTCCGCACCGCTCCGCTCCTCCCCGAATTCAAACGCGGCGCTGGGAACGTTACAAAAGCCTGCGCGCCACTGATTGGCCGCGGGGATTTAAAATCCAAACCCGCCCGCCGCGCGGCACCATGGGAGCGCCCTGCGCAGCAGCTGCCTTTAAACCCGGACCCAGCCGGGGAAAAACTTGATTGACAGGGACGCCCGAACACGTGGGATAGCCTGGGAAACCAAATCCGGCGTGGATGCGGAGACCCAGCCCCGAGAGGGGAGGAATTCCTTCGGGGTTTCTCCCTTTCTCGGGCGTCCGGGAAAGCTCCTGCAGTTCGCTTGCGCCTCCTCCAGGAAGCTTTTCCTTAAATCTTCCTCCACCTCCACCCCACCTAGAATATAAGCAATCTAAGAGTAGGGAACTGGCATGCCAGCAGGTCGTTTAAGAAAGCCTTAGCATCCGTCTCCCGATGCCGTCAGCTCTCAGCCAAGCCACCCGAACTGAACTAAAATCTAAGTAAAAGTGTGCTTGCCAAACATACCTTCATGGCTGGTCTGCTCCTTCAAATAACTGCCGCTTCTGAGCTCCTCCGGATTACAAAGCAACGCTGCTTAAAGAAGGGGCCATGGAACAGCAGCATCGCCATCACCTGAGAGCTTGTTAGAACCGCAAAGGCAAACATTCAGGCCCTACCCCAGACCTCCCGAGTCAGTGTCCGCCTCTCAACAAGACTGCTCAGGTGATTCCTACACATCCTGAAGTTGGAGAAGCACAGTACCAGAGTCCTCCATGATGCAAGGAAGCTGTCTGGCCTGCTCGCTACTGAATTTCCCAGGGCCTAAAATAGTGGACACTCAGTTTCTTGGTCAGAGGGACGGAAGGTTGGAAGAATGCCTAGCAAACTGGCAGGTCATAGCCAAATGTGTCTTGCAGGGTTTTGTTTGGCCTCCCACTTTTGTGTGTGTGTGTGTGTGACGGAGTCTTGCTCTGACGCCCAGGCTGGAGTGCAGTGGCACAGATATCGGCTCACTGCAACCTCTGCTTCCCGGGTTCAAGCAGTCCTCCCGCCTCAGCCTCTCAAGTAGCTGGAATTGCAAGCGTGCACCACCATGCCCAGCTAATTTTTGTAATTTTAGTAGAGAAGAGGTTTCACCATGTTGGCCAGGCGGGTCTTGAACCCCTGACCTCAAGTGATCTGCCCACCTCGGCCTCCCAAAGTGCTGGGATTACAGGCATAAGCAGCCATGCCCGGCCATTGTAAAACATTTACAGCATTTAAAAGAGGAGGTCATAAAAATTTGGATTTGTGGCCTTTCCTGAAAAAAATCAGCTCTAGCTACTTAACTCTGTGCCTACATGCTTTCAGTTTGCCACAGTTCCCATTTACACCCCTTTGTTCTATAGGTACTTGAATGGCAACCCTGGAACAGCAAAATACCTAAGTTAGAAGCTCTTTCTCTGTGCCTCCTTAGCACCCTCTGATCCTTCATAGAGCCCAGCAAAAATCAACCATACTATAAGCATCCTTCACCTGCCTTGCAGCTAAAGGGAAGGGCAATGAAGGCAATGAAGGCAATGATGCTGTCCTTTCCACCCCATGTCCCAAGCTCCCAGAGCAGTGCTTGGTAAAAAAAAAAAAAAGGGGGTACTTACTAAAATGTTGGCTGAATAAAAGGAAGACTTTGAAAAATTAAGTTATTTAGTACCCCTATGGTGTGAATAATTCTTTTTATTGGAATTTAATATACTTACAGAAAAAAAAGTACATATCATAATTGTACACAGAGCTCAGTGAATTTTCACAAACTGAACACATCTGTAAACCACATCCAGATTGAGAAAGAGAACATGGCAAACACCCCACAAGTCTCCCTTGTGCCCTGTGCCAGGGGTGCCACCACCACCTCCTAGTCTGATGATGTACTAGGAGATTCACAGACTCAGCCTGTAATCATACTTATGGCTATGATTTACTACAGCAAAAGGCTAGGAAGCAAAATCAGCAAAGGAAAAAAGTGCATGGGCAAAGTTCAGGGAAACCAGGTGCAAGCCTCCCACGGTCCTCTCCCAGCAGAGTCACACAGGACACAATTCCTCCAGCAATCAGCTGTGACAACCCATACACACTGTTGTGTACAAGGGAAGCTCATTACAGACTCAGTGTTCAGGGCTCTGATTGGGAGCTGGTCACCTCATCCTCTGCCTAACACATATGAAAATCCAAGACTTGCAGAAGGCAGGCAGATGTCGGGCATAATCCACATTGTACAAACAGTTTAGGCACAGTGAACCACTCATCATTTAGGGATTAATGAGAACCCTCCTGAAATCCAAGCTTTCAGATGCCAGCCAAGGGCCAGCCTTGCAAACAGGCCTGCTTTCTCATCTCTTTTCACACAGTCCATCTCCTTATTGAGGATTCTTTACAGCAAAATTATTATCAGTAGGACCCCATGCAAAAGGGTGAGACCAATCTGAAGTATGGACCTCAGTTCCTCCTGGTAGGGTCCTGGATTTAACCAGCTAAAATAAATCCCATTAACCATAAAGTCTATCTTAGAAATCCAGGTGGCTTCCTCCTTAATTCCTTTTTTTTGAGATGGAATCTTGCTGTCACCCAGGTTGGAGTGCAGTGGCGTGATCCTGGCTTACTGTAACCTCCACCTCCTGGGTTAAGGCGATTCTCCTGCTTCAGCCTCCCAAGTAGCTGGGACTACAGGTGCACACCACCACACCCAGCTAATTTTTTTATTTTTGTATTTTTACTAGAGACGGGGTTTCACCATGTTGGTCAGGCTGGTCTCAAACTCCTGACCTCAGGTGATCTGCCTGCCTCAGATTCCCCAAGTGCTGGGATTACAGGCATGAACCACTGTGCCCGGCTTAACTGCTGTCTGAAACTCTTTTTTTTTTTTTTTTTAACCTGACCTGAGGCATCAATTCAGGCACAGTACAACTCTGGTCAGTAAGTGGAAGCTAACGCAAATGCTTTCCAGGGCTGAGGGGATATCATGAGAGTCATGGTCATGTACAGAAGCATAGTCCCAGGGGCACAGGTGGTACCCCTAGAAACAAAGAATTTGCAATATTAGGGCACCTCAAGCAGGACATCCATTAGTCAAGCCGTACAGGTGAACAGACCTCCCACCAGGGGAGGTCTCCTGCCCTAGTGTTTCCAGTTCCATCTGAAAAGTTCCTGGAGTTCTTGGCTTCCAAGTGGCTGCCTGAAGGCAGTGAGTCCCAAACAGTTTTGCTTGTTCAGGATACAAGTTGATCCATCTCATGAGCAAGGATGACATTTGTGGGAGATCTTCATGGAAAGCATGGGAGCTGGACCCACTCTGTTGTCAGTCTGAACTCAAAGCACTCACAGCACATGGAAAGGCAGCAAGCACTGGGAATTTTCCTTCAGCAAGAGGAGGCTTCTAGGGATCAAGCCTCCCCAGGTGCCAGGCTTTAATTATTTTCTCTAATGTTACAAAAACAGTCGTGCCCTGTTCAGCAATCATAACATTGCATTTTTTCAACCATCTCTCTCTCTCTCAGCCAGGCCTTTCCTCTGGAGGGTTTGTATGTAAGAGGCACAAAAGCATTTTTGTAGATAAACTTTTTTGTTTATTTATTTATTTTTTGAGATAGGGTCTGGCTCTGTTGCCCAGGCTGGAGTGCAGTGGCACGATTTTGGCTCACTGCAAATCTCCGCCGCCTGGGCTCAAGCCATCCTCCTACCCTCAGCCTCCTAAGTAGCTGGCACTACAGGCACATGCCATCATGCCCAGCTAATTTTTGCATTTTTTGTAGACATAGGGTTTTGCCATGTTGCCCAGACTGGTCTTGAACTCCTGAGCTCAAGCAATCTGCCCACCTCGGCCTCCTGAAGTGCTGGGATCATATGTGTCCATCACTGTGCCTGGCCAACTTTTTTTTTTTAATCATCATCCTAGAGTTCAAGTAGATAAATGTTTTTGTGCAACTTAACCAGAAAGACACATTCAGGAATTGGTAATGATGTGTGGAGGGTTGAACTGTGTCCCCACAAAAATTCATGCTGAAGCCCTAATCACCTGTACCTCAAAATGTGAGTATATTTGGAGATAGGCCCTGAAGAAGTAACTAAGTTAAAATGGGATTGTTAGGATGGGCCCTAATCCAACCTGACTGGTATCTTTATTAAAAGAGACTATTAGGACACAGACACATAGACAGAGGGACCATACGAGAACACACTAAGAAGGCAGCCATCTGCAAGCCAAGCAGAGAGTCCTCAGAAGAATCCAAACCTGTCGACACCTTGTCCTGGACTTTCAGCCTCCAGAACTGCGGGAAAATAAGTTTCTATTGTGTAAGCCACTCGGTTTGTGGTACTTTGTTATGGTATCCTTAGCAAATGAATAAAGGATGAAACTCTGAATTTTTTTAAATTTCAAAATGTGTTTACATAATCTTCCACCCCTTTTGTCCTGATTATTCAATGAGCAGCCTAAAAAAAGCCTAATACCTTTCTGGGGACAGCTACATTTCAATAATCCACCTACCTTACTAAGCTGTGTGTGCTGGGAGAAAAGTGAGGGAAGTAGAGTCAGGCTGTCAGTCCACTGTTGCAAGCTGCAACTAACCCCAAAAGCTGAATGCAACAAGTCAACAGCAGTGAGAGAAGCCCCAGAGAAGGTTCGAGTCTGGTCTGTCAAAAGCAGGAGGAAGGGTCACAGTCCTTGTGATGTGCTCTTCCCCATCTTGCAGCTTTTGGCAAATATTAGAAGTTAGGAATGCAATTAGCCTCTGTATTAGAGACAAACAGCCTATCAGCAACTTGATCTTAGATGGATTCCATTAAAGAATAAGCCCTTTTCAGCCAGGTTCCAGGATGTTTTCATAGTTTAGCACTCCACGGAGGGGGTCCTTAATCTCCAACGGCCCCAACGTCTAAGTCCTGGTCATTGAGCCTGTGTCTGCTTTCAGTTCAGCATAGCCCGTGTTGAGGCTCATGGCACACAGTAGCAGGTTTCAGCTTAGAGTCAGGGCCAGGCAATTAGGATTTGGGAATTTGAGATTCTGAACAAGCCAGCTGCTTTTCTTCAGCAGCAGTGAAGGCATGCTGCGTGGCCAGACAGCTGTGGTTCAAGTGACATGCAAGGCTGCCTTTTTATCTTGTTGGTCTTAGAATTCAATTAACCCACTCAAAAAAAACAATGCATATTAGACTAGACAATTATCAGCCTCTAAGGGTAGACATTTGATTTTGACAAGGGC